TATTATTATGATTCTTCGGAACGAGATAACATTTTAAGACATTCTGCGTTACTTCTTCTGCAAGTTTGCTAGGGTGTAGGTACGCAGCTGCACTGTATTTTGCAGATGTCGTGCTTTTCACTTTCACAGATATACAACTATTTTCTATACCCAAAACAAAGCAAAACATTGTACAAAGTTACTTTGTCCACCTTGCTCATATTATTTGGCTTTTAGGAGGAGGACCGGAGGCGGGTATGATGAATCTTTCCATAGGTACAGTTACAGTAATTTTAACACGCTAATATTACTCTGCAAAACATTCCTTTCCATGAAATTACATTTCTTGGGATGCTTGCCTTTCGGTTTATACAAAACATTCCTTACTTTAAAATCATGTTGACCCAGATTTTTCTGCACTGCATATTCACTTTCCTGGCCTATTTCGAGCACCCAGATAAATCTTGGCTTCGAGACAAATCCAATCTGACCACCTGAAGTTCCTTTTTTGATGTAGCTTAAGTGCCGCAAATCGTGTCTTATTCCAGGAATGTTTAGCATACTGGTTATGGTGGTCAGACTGTAGCAAATACGTACTGCGAGTTCGTCTGGGATAACAGCTTCACGGGTGAATCCCGAACGGTTTAGAGCCCGATACCGTAACACCTCCTAGCCTCAGGCTTGGGCAAATTTTGGATAATATGTACCCCTTTTTGCCCACCCGAGTCCTCTATTGTAAATGCAAATTGAATTTTTTTTGTTGAGGTTAGTACAATGCGATTCTTGGAGATCTTGCGCTGGCTAACACTAGTCTTCAACTTACGTGCTGTTTTTGTGGGTTTACTGACCTCTCCAGACACAAATACCAACTTCAGTGAGCATGGACAAAGTTCACACCTCAACTGTTATGAACTCTCGTCGTTTGTATCCAACCTTGACGACACAGTTCAGCTTGTATGACGCAGTCGGGTTGTGCATTAAGGCATCTCTTACTGGCAAAGTTTGGTGTGTCAGGAAAAAGACGATAAATGAACTACATGCCTTTTGGCTTGGTATATTTTCCAGGCTATAAGTGAAAAGTCTCGCTAACGTAACAGTAGCATCAAATTTAATTCCAGCATAGCCAACAAAGCACGTGCCCTTGTGATGCATTTACAAATCCGCTCTTGGATTTTTGCTGCACTATCTACTTTGGCACACATCTGGTAACTATATATTTTTAAAGTAGCGACGTTTTAACTTGTATTAGCAAAACAAACACAAATCGACTGCTTTATGTTACAGGATAAGACAAAACAACCTTTAAAATTTTGCAAAACTAAAAGACTAGGTTTGAAGATGCACTGGACCCTCCACATACTGCAAATCCAGTACCTCCCTGGCTTTCTAATACTGCCCTTGACGGTTGACTCGAGTATTAATCGAAGACTGCAGAGAAGTGAATTCTTCTCAGACTTCGAGCACGCCCTCTCCCTCTTAGTGGTTCGATTGTCACCCGTATTAATAATGCTGAAACTGAAACTTAATGCATATTTTATTAAACAAAATAATATACCCGTATCGACGAGAGAGTGAATCTTAACATTTTTTATTTTATTTAAAGTATAAATGTATCGCACTATCTCCCAACTCTCTCCGGTGCTTCAAATGCATTTAAAATAAGATTGCAGGTCTCAAGAAAGTGTATTTATGTTAAATAGCACAAGTTAAACACGAATATAGTGGTTCCTAACCTCGAATCAACTTTGTTATCCTTCTGCAAGTATTTACAACATTGGACATATTTTGTTTTTTTCGCATTGCAAAAAGGCAGCTGAGGTGTGAATGCATACTGATGAAATGGATATGTTTCAGTGCAAATGCGCATTTATTCTTCAAGGTCTAACCAGCTGCAGTGTGACCAGAACTTTGCTCGTGTGAAAATATTTACCTTTGTATGTGGGCGGAGGACTGCGTTTGATGTCTTCAGTCCTATTGGTTTACATTACCAGTCATAAAACAGCAACTGCACAAAACCAATAAAACTTTGATTGATTTCTCAAAGTTAATCACATGACTTCCTACCTTGTTGTCACAGCGTGGATTGGGTCACCAAAATAAGCTGCTGACATTTTAGTAAATCCAAACTGTGTGGTTTCGTCTCGCCTCCATGAAATTTCATACGATCGGACTAAATTCCAATCTGGTTTGGATGATTCATTTTTGGCAATTATTCACTGGGCCGACGCAACTACTTAAATGGTCAAATTTTCAAATCACGAAGGCCTTTGTTCTCTGTAGCGTTTAGCCACGGTAAGTGAAGGATATGCCTGAGTTGAGAGCTAATAATCTAAAAACTGCAGCTCAACGTTAATTGATTACGTGGGATGCAAGGCGAGAGCGCATTACGCTGTAATTTATAGTGTCTGAGAAGAAGAGGAAGAAAAAGATGCGGATTCTGGGACAAAAAATATGTTTGCTTGATGTTTCAAATTCCAGCTCGAGCTCATCTTCAGAGAGAGAGCATGCAATAAGGATTATTCGTTCAGAGGCGATGGTAGTATTTATAAGATAAAATTGCTCGGCTCTTGCATACGCATGACAATCACAACTTCCCCTTTCATCGATAATGATTGCCATCTGACGCGCTAATCTCTTGGTAGCCGGTATGCGGGTATTTTTCTGCTGAAAATTAATCACCTGCGTGTGGTGTGAGGATTGCTTGGCCACCTGGCTCACTGATATTGGCATTTGAAGATGTGCTCGCCTGCGCGTTATCCAAGTGACTGACGTTTTCGGCGAATCCATGTCTGAGTACGGAATATGGGCTGGAGAGGTCTTTGCACATTTTAAGACTGGGAGCCCGTAAACTCTGACTCCAGCAACTCGCGGCTCACGCGATTGTCACCTCTCGCGCGACTTTCAGTCTCATCAAATTTGGATGTAGGACCGGGTCTCGTAATATGAGCCGCGACTTAAGAATTGGCATGATTTCTCTGCCCATCTTCGGCTATTGGCATTCAGAACAGTTTTCCCATTTCTCCGACGTACTTGCTTTGCCTGCAACTGCACCAGCTCCGATAAACGTCTCCCGATCAGTCTGGCCGTGGCAATGGATCTTTCGGTCTCGTCACCTACCGTCTAAAGCTGGCCTTCGTACGACAAGGCAGCTGCACCCCCGGCACATTCTTGACGTACGGAATCGCTCACCCAACTTTGAGGTTTATGTGAGTTATTCGTTTGCGCATGCACCCGTAGAGTGGCTGGAGGAAATGACTGTCAATGAGTCCCCTGTACAAAAAATCTATGGGACTGTTTGCTAACAGTCAAGGTACTCTAGAGGTCTTGTTGATGTCCAAGGTCGATCCGATGTTCTCAAACAGACCCTAGGAGTCATCTGTTCCATCTCGCAACGAACTGCGCTGTATATGCACTGGGTCGAAACAGAGCATCCGAATAGGTCACGCCACTTGTTTATCGGTCTGCGCAGAGTCCGTGCGAACTCACAACTACCGCTGCATATGTGTGCCTATGTGGTGACAGGCTCTAGAAGAAGATATTCACGACATGGAAGGTGGCGCACTGGCGGGCTGACTCAGTACTTCATGGAACTTGCACAGTCAGCCCGCAATTGTTCCGTCTCAATACTGCCCTTGTAGCATTCAGTCGAATGGAATCAGTCACCCGTTTTAGGCTGCATGAGGCACGGGTAAGGGGTTAGTCTAAGAAGAGAAGAAGAGATGCGATCACTGGAACAAGGGCTTTATTTTCCTGACGTTTCGAATTCCCTCGGGAATCCGAAACGTCAGAAAAATAAAGCCCTTGTTCCAGTGATCGCATCTTCTTCTGAACTGCTACCTGGAACTCATATATTCTCCTCTATTAGGTTAGTCTAACTTTGTCAGGCAGAGAGTCCGATACCGTCTCCGCTCTTCGAGACACTATGTCGCCATTTGAACGTAGTGGGTATGTGTTGTGACCTGCACTTGGTACTTGTAATGAACACGAACTGCGAGCTTGGTCGGCCGTTCTTCCGAAAGCCAGCACGCGCGAGGAGGAGAAAGCAATTGACTACGCGGAGAGCTAAATTTAAATTAGTAATTCATTCTCACAAAAAGACAGTGTATATTTATTGATATTCTTGATGAGAAAGTGTCAGAAACATGGACCAAATAGATCTGAAGAGGGGTCGATAGGCACGGTGCGCGCTCTCATGGTATCAGTATGGCAGCTCACGTAGGCTACGTATGTATATTTTTGATTTGTTGATTTATTAATCCACTTGATAAGAAAGCTTCGGAGACACGGACCAATCAGATCTGGCAATAAATCGATAGTCACGGAGCGCGCTCTCATGGTAGCAGTAAGGCAGCTCACATAGGCGCCTTTCTGTGCGATAACTCACTGTGGGAGTGGAGGCACTCCCAACGATGATGAAGATGACAGTGCGATAGATGCAGCGAATGTCTGTCCTCTGCAACGTCACCGGTGCTGCCCCCGCTCAGTAAGGACACGCCTTGAAGCTTGTCGCTAGCGTCGCTCGAACTGTCGTCCCTCATTGCTGGTCAGGCCGGCATGTGCTATCCATTCGCTTGCTAGGACGCATTCTGCTCCACAGAACTACGCAAAAAAACAATGATTAAAGTAGAGGTGACCTGAGGTCATCTTCTAAGCCCGCTTTGCGATCGAAAAAAAAAGCTCTGAACTTTCAAAAAGAACTGGAGTTTAGATATGTTGTGAAAAATATGTATGCAAACCCCTTTCGGTAATTCGACACACATAGCAACCGCGTACTGTAATTGTGAACTTATTTTGCCCCTTTCGGTATCGATTCAACCACATGAGTGTAGACTTTCAAGTCTTGCTTTTAATTCCGCTCTTTCGGACCTTTTGCAAATGCTGTTTGGGATTTTGTCACGCTTGTGATTGACACGGCTCGAATTTGTTTTCCTGTTTGCTTGCTAGGTAAGGTACTAGCATTGATTTTTCTGCTTTCTTTAATTTCGAATGTCAACCCTTCTAAGTTTGAACATGTTTTCCAGATGGTCTTGATGAGGCGACGCCAGGTGCCGCGGTTGATCTTGTTGATGACGATTTCGAAAATGAGTTGGGAACCTGTGCCTCTCAGGTGTGTCTCCATTAATTATTTACTCACGATTAGACCCAATGAAAATTATTTAAATAGGATATGCAAAATGGGGTGTTTTGAATGTCAATTCCTGCCACGTTTTTATTATTGCAACTTAAAAGACCTTGTGAAATTAGAGTACGATGGTCTATCTAAAGTTACATATCGTAATTTACATCGCGTTCTCACAAAGATGATCAAAACGCAAATATAGAAATCACGGTCCGTGATCCGCTGACTTTGGTGATGTATACTACCTGAAAACGTGAGCCAAAATTCAGGAATGTAGTGAAGAGGGCTAGTAAATTGTCATAAACAGTTGTGTTGGCTTGGCCACGTCAGTTCCTTGCTGATAGTACAATAGATTTGGTTTTGCCAACTTAGCCTACTTAGACTATTATTTACTTACTACTAACTACTTAGACTTACTACTTAGACTCCCGAGTATGACAAGACTTAATCTCTAGTTGATTACACAAGCAAGGAACTTTGGTTTAAAAGGTCTTCGATGTGTTTGCCCCCTCAAATTCCGCTCACTACTGAACGGATCCGTCCTTTGGCGGCTTCATAACCTCGTCCCTTTTCGTGCTTTGAGAGGCTAGATTCAGTTGGGGGCCTGTCTACCTCGGTAACTGGTCAGTTGACTGGTCAACGTAAGAAGTCGGTCATTAGCTTGCGACTCGGGACGTATTTATGGTCCGCCGGCGGAGATAAACGGGTGATATATGTTCCTGTGCATAAGTTTGTGTTCACGGCCGTTTTTCTATGCGGTCACGAAATTTGGTTTCTTTAGCAAAGCTACTTTTTGATCCTGTGATTTCGCATGGGTCTGGCTTACGTTTGACCTGTTGTGTGACCACTTCCAGGAAAGATATCCAGCCATATATCACACAATGGTCAGAAATTGTCAAGCGGCTAAGGAGTATAGTAAATGCTTGTTAGGCATACTGTGTGACGAGAAACATGATAGCTATCAATTCAAAATTACGTGAATAATTAATCCCGTAGAAGACAATACGGTAAAGAACAATAGACGTTCAAGCCTTGGAACTTTATAAGAACTTCTCTAGAACTATAATAATCTAGAACATATATCCGATAACATTAAATTAAAAGCAAACGCTTCTGTCATTTCAAACTTTCACCTCAAAAAAAACTATTTCTCTCCAAAATTCACTTTTTTAAACTATATAAAAAGGCCTCTTTCGAAGTTATCATTTTTAATCTAAAGTGTGTTTATTAAGCAGATATTTATCGTAGATATTGTGTTGATTGCTCGTTGGTAAGGACATATAGCCAATTAACAGTTAACATTCGTCTTCTATCAAAACAGTATATTAACACACTCAAAGATGTTGTCCCATTCCCCTGCCTCCTTAAGCAAATGACCGTCCAAGAGGCCCTCGACCGTGAATACCGTGACATTTCACGTCTGGGCATAATCCAGGTTGCCGGAGATGATCGTCTGGGTCGCAAGGTCATCGTCTTTTCTGCCTGTAGACTACCCGCCAACGGCGGCGTTGATCTTCAGCGGTTATACGAGTAAGTTTTGCTGTTTAACGAAACATTTCAGTTAAAATATACATGTAAATGCATCATTCCGGTTGCTGGCATCATACGTTGCAACCAGAGA